ACCCCTTTTGTGCTAGTGGAGTTAACTGACCATTTCGAGTGTACTTAGACTAGACGAACATAAGAACAGAATTCCTACGTGCTATTAGCTAAGCATACTTAGCCTGGTAAGGAGTTCCCATCTCGTTATGTCTTGCACTAGCTAGTGACAAGAACCCTCATGTATTAAGACTAGTCCCTCAATATCACTAGATGATAGCTTACCGTGTCTACCAAACACCTTCGCTATCATACCTTTTGTGTTAGTCTCATTACTGTCCCAAATGTTATTTATGGAAAGTGTCTAATTTCACTCATTTGGCATATCTACGGAATGTAGAGATTGGTTTGAACACAATGGTGTTCATCTCGTGTCCAAATTCACAATCTAGGGACATTCCATATTTAGTAAATTTCAAACTTGTCCCAAAGACTAACTCCTGGTACTAAGGGAGGCTTGGGGTAAAAGCCCAAAGCATGTGTTCCTCAAGAAGGAAGGGATAGTGGTTGGAATGTATGTCTGACCACCTAAGACATTAATTTAGCTCTTGCTGGGCTATGTCGTTCCTTGTTTTGCGTCCAGCTTGGGTCTAAGCCCAAGCTCCACACTGCTCTAGTCGGTGGGGTACCCTCCTCCTTACGTTAGGCCACTGGTATGCCAAAATTATGCCAGATTCCATCTGACACCATTTTGCATGCAGATGCTGGATACAAGGAGCTGGTGCTCGTGAGATTGTACCGGACACTCGTTTTGTAGCGCAACAGGCTTGGAGTTCGGCTCCAAATTCAAGTGCACTACAATCTCGAACCTTGCAAACTCTATCTCTAACTTCTTAGACGGGGCTGCATCTAGGAGTTTGTCGTCTTGTTTTTGGGATTTTAGGGGGACATTAATTATTAATATTAAACTAAACTATGTTTAGGCTATGATATTCTAGATTTCTTCTAACCGTTTTTTTAAATTTTTTTTTGAGGATCTTGCAACAGTTCAACCCAAGGAAATAGAACATGCTTCCAGGGAAAACCTAAGAGATGCTTAGGAGGAATGTGGTTCTTTCAACAATTAGGTAGCAATCATTGATGTTTTGTTGAGGAACAAGGTAATCTTGCTTCTTTTGCAAGTTTTGTTTCTTGTTGTGGAGGCTTTTCAATCCATCATTGATGACAAGACCCTGGTGGCACAAACTCTTCCGGACAAGGAGGACAAAGACAAGCTTCGTTGAGCAGTCTTGTCCAAGCGACTTGACACCGGTCTCTAGTGGGTGAAGCTGTGGTGTATGACAACATGAAGCAAGTTCTTCATGGAGTTGTATGACCTTGGTCGATGGAAGCGAAAGCTGGGGATGGAGAAGATGACATTCTTCAGGCTTTGTGGCATTTTGGAGGTTGAAATCTCCAAGTAGGATACGAAGTATAAGAGAGCGATACTTAGTGATCTTGCTGAGGGTTTGCAATGCTCAGAAAAGGTTCTTGAGTATCTATGTAGGTTGGCCAAGTAATTACTTTTAATTTTTTTCTTCTATACATCTAATTGGTTTTTTTTTTCCCCCAGGGAGTGTTCATAACATGAGGGTTTTTCAGAACTCCAGGCTATTCCACAAGATCCAAGTGAGGGAATTACTCACAATTCCTCAGGAGTTTGCTTTTGACAAGTGGATTAAGCCATACCTAGTGGGAGACAAGGGCTACTAGCTATAGCAGCACTTGATGATCCCTCTCTTAGGTAAGCTGATTTTTTTTGTTTTTTTTTAATTATTCATTTGAAACAGGTTTCCAATTGACAGTGGCTGAGGCAAAGTACAACCAACTGGCCCGGATTGTTATTGAACAAGCATTTGGACTCTTGAAAATAAAATTCAAATGCTTGGATCAAAAACAAAGGATCAAGCCAAAGTATTTGCCAAACATTATCAAAGGTTGTTGCATCTTGCATAACTTCTTGATTGATGTTGGTGAGACAAACATCAATGCCAAGATTAAGGCGTGGGAGAGACACATTCAAGCCTTGAAGGAAGTAAAGATTTTTGAAGATTATAGGGATCCTATCGTGGCTAAGGGAGAACCATAGGAAGACTTGCGTGGGCCAGAGGATGCACAGGAGGTATGAGAGAACCTACGTGATTGCTATATTCAAGTTTAATATTTGAAATTTGAAATTGAAATTTAGGGTTAGCATTTCAAATTTGATTTGAATTTGAAATTTTAAAATATTTTAAAACATGTTCGAATACTATTTTGAAAACATTTTAAAGTAAGTCAGGTGTGAAGTCACTAATGTTTTACATTAAATTTTTACCACAAAAACCTATGCAGGTGGAATGAAAATGTTTTAAAATGTATATTTAAAGCTTAAAACAACCTAAAAACTACTCAAGTGCTAATGCAGCAATCACAAAAATTAAAATACACATTTTTAAAATATTTTTATATAAAGCACAAGTGTGAATGGCTCCATCCTCACTCTATTATGTTGTTCATCATCCTAACTCCATTATCGAGGCTAAACTCCTATCTATCCCCTCTACCCCCTCCTCTTAGGTAAGATTTATTTTAAATCATTTAGGAAAATAAAAGAAGCAAGAAAAATTGAGAAAAAATAATATAAAAGAGGAAAAGTGGAGTTTTCATTGGAAGCCAGAAAATATATAGGGCATTTTTTGAAAGTCACAACATTGCAAATTTTTAAAACAAGTAGAAGAGTATTCTTTTTCACCCAATTTATTACACCCTTCATCATTATATATATCTCTAACTTGTGATCACTATTTTCACTATCTTTTCTTTTGTTCTTTTGTATGGTTTGGTTTTGTTGTGCAATGAGACAACTACTACAACATTTAGCCCTTGAATTACTACTTTGGAAAGAAAGATTGCAAAAGTTAAAATTACTAGCATTACATTTATGTGTATTTCCCTTCCTTCAAATAAAAATGTGAATGAAGATCCATAAATAAACACTATACTATGACAAACCCCTCAAGAATGTATTCTAGAGAAGAACTAAATCTCTCTTTTATATGCAACAAGCTTATATAAACAATTGTTATTTTTCTTTTCTAACGGTTATATAGCCTTACATAAAATCTTATATCAAATTTAATAATTTTAAACCTAATATTTACAAGACAAAAACCACATAGTACAGATTTAAGGAAGTGATAAGAATACTTTTTTTGTAAACATCTTATTTTATGTTCTAACAAACATCCCTATTATGGCATATAATTAATATTTAAATTGTTAGAACATACATAATGATTAGTTTCTCAACTAGCTTAGATGGAAACTAATAAAGGGTTTAGCAATACCAATCTCCTGCCATCGTGGTAGTAAAAGAAGAATATGTAAAAGGACTCGTTGACAGATAATTTTCGATACTCACAATCACATTCACAATAATGACAATATGAATTTATAGGAAAGTATGATGGATTATAAACAACCAAAGAGAATAACTTAAGAGGCAGTTTATTAAGGTTCAAATAAATAAGGAAAAAATCTATAATTAAGAGTGTAGTATGTTTTTTGGTTTGAGTAATACTAGGTTTTGAGTAGTACTAGATTGAATCCCAGGAAGTTTAAATTCAAGAGCTTATACTTTGGGAAAGAACTTAACTACACAAGAAATTCAAATTCAAGAGTTTACACTTTGGCAAAAGAATTTAACTATAACCAAAGCAAATGTGGTTAGATAAACAAAGTAAGCTAACATATTAAAAAGGGAAAAAATGGTTAGATAAGCAAGGTAAACTAACAAATTGCAAAGGGAAAATTTGTGGCTAAAATAAACTTCTTATATGTAATTTTAAACAAGGAGTCAAACTTTTTATATATAACTAAAAGAAAGGTACTCCACTAGAAAAATATCCTTTAAATACTAGAGAATCATTAGTGAGATTAAAAGTTTAATTACTCTGCCATGTAGGAATTATTTACCATAGATTAAAATTAATATCTATACAAAAAGCTAGCTTGGTTTCTAAAAACTCCTATTCAACTAGAAAAATCTCCTCTAAATACTTAAAAAAGAGAATCACAAGTGAGATTGAAAGATTGTTTAATTACTTACCCTATAAGAATTGGATTTACCCTAGGTACACTCCTTGCTTACTTTCACCCCTAAGTATACCATAGAAAATGATAAAATCCTATTCTGTATTGTAAAGTGCATGTACCTAAGTCAATATATCTGACTATAGTGAACTCCTGGGGTGTGCAATTGCTAACCATTCAAATTAATATCAAAATCATAATGTTGAACTAAAGTAAAGGACTTTGTGGGCAACTGTAATCCACAAAATAGTGCTATAGAAAATTTCTAAATCAGCCTTTAAAACCACTATTAACTTAAATGAACAACAAAACCTATCTATGCATCTTCCTTTCAAAAGATCATTGCTAACTTATACTCACAATTTTGTCTTTGTCCAACATTGCATATAAAAAGTTTGTTTTAACCACAAATTTTCCTTTTGCAATTTGCCAACTTACGTCACTTATTTAACCAAGAGGTTTTAGAAACCAAGATTACTTTTCATGTCTTAAGGAGTACATATACACTAATGCTTCTTTTATGGCATAGCAAGTGTGAGCTTTTGCATTTGGATGATATATTTAAAGGTAAACTCAAAAAACTTAAATGCTCCAGAAGCTGCAAATAAAATTGTAGGCCAGTAGGAGGTTTAAGAAACCAAACTTACTTCTCATTTCTTAAAATACATGGTGTAGATATTAATTTTTCATGTTATATCAATGGTGAACTTTTGAAGTTGGACTTTTTAAGGGTAAAGAACACAAAGGGTTTTTAGTTCATAAGGAGTGAACTAGAAGTTGTAGGCTAGTTTATTGGGATTTGTAGTTCGTTTGAAGCTTATGTTTTACAGGTCAAGTTTTTGTTGATGCTTTGGAATAATTATATCATGGTTAAAAAGTTTGTGTGGTGGTGTGTAATAGCCAAAAAAAGTTCCAGATGTTCCACCAGAAGATTCTAGAGATTTCTATTTTGATGATAGTTTTAGCACATTTAAGGATGAATCTAGCATCATCATTTTATTTGATCATAAAAAAAAAGGAAAGCTAGTCAGTCATCACAACTCCTTCCTTTTCTTTCTGGTCACAAATTTCTCAGAACTCCTTGCACACACAGTTCGTAATTAGCACTAGTACAGTAGCTCCTGGAAAACTGGATCCACGCTCTTGTTCCACTTCCCCTCATACAAGCTCAACAGCTTCTCTGCCGGTGTCACCCCCGTTCTCACAATCTCAGCAATGTCGTTGAGAAATCCAGCCTCCTTGTAGCCTCGTCTTTGCAGCCCATCCCTGGCCAGCTTAAAAACGTCCTGCGCTACGTGCTTGAGCTGCCCGTCCCGGAACGGCGTGCTTAATCCCAGCCTCGGAACTTTGCTTCTCAGCATCGCCCTCTCCCCCTCCGTCCAGCCCTCCACCATCTTGGACGCCGATTCCAGAGCTTCTTCGTCGTACAAAATCCCCACCCAGAAGGCTGGGAGAGCGCACAGCCTCTTCCACGGCCCCCCGTCAGCCCCTCTCATCTCCAAGTATCTCTTGAGCCTGACCTCTGGAAAGATGGTTGTCAAGTGGTTCTCCCAGTCGTTGAGCGTCGGGAGCTCGCCGGGGAGATTGGAGAGCCTGCCGGCGAGGAAATCCTTGAACGACTGCCCCGTGCAATCCACGTACCTCTTGTCCCTGTACACGAAGTACATGGGCACCTCGAGAGCGTACTCGACGTACCTCTCGAACGAGAAACCATCCTGGAAGACGAACGGGAGATCGCCTGTCCTGTTTCGATCTACGTCCGTCCAGATGTGGCTCCGGTAGCTCACGAAACCATTGGGAACGCCCTCCTTGAACGGCGAGTTCGCAAACACCGCAGTGGCGATCGGTTGCAGCGCCAGTCCCACTCTAAACTTCTTCACCATGTCCTCCTCGGACGAGAAGTCGAGATTCACCTGAACTGTGCACGTCCGGAACATCATGTCCAAGCCCAAGCTGCCAACTTTCGGCATGTAGTTCTTCATGATCTGGTACCTCCCTTTGGGCATCACTGGGATCTTCTCCACCGGCCACTTTGGCTGGAATCCCATCCCCATGAAGCCCAGTCCCATCTCCTCGGCCACCGCTTTCACCTGGTAGAGATGGGAGTTTACCTCGGCACACGTCTGGTGGACAGTTTCCAGTGGAGCACCGCTGAGCTCGAACTGGCCACCCGGTTCCAGCGAGATGCTTTGCCCGTCCTGCTTGAGACCGATGATCTTGTCTCCCTCCATCACCCTCTGCCAGTTGAATCGCTCCGCCAGACCTTCCAGCAGCTGCGCGATCTGCTCGTAGTCGATGGGCTCGAGACTGCTCATCCGGAATCCAAACTTCTCGTGCTCGGTGCCGATCCTCCACTTGGACTTTGGCTTGCATCCCGACGCCAGGTAATCCACCAGGTCGAGCTTCGTCAGGGGCTCTGCCCTCAAGGCGGTCTCTTCCGCTGGCGGGCTGGCGGCGACGATGCCGAGCTTCCTCCTCTCGCGGACGCGGCCACGGAACATCGGCGAGAGATCTAGCAGCGCTGCCCGGTGCCCCTGCCACTGCCTCTCACCTCCCGGAGCTCGCGACAGCGCTGATCTCTCCGTAATATCGAGCGCGCTCCACGAAACGGCGGCCATTCCTGGAGCTGCGAGAGGAAATGTGAGAGGCCTATCGATCGAATGCTAGACATACCTGAGGATTCCCCGCCTCCGCCGAGCCGCGCTCTCTGTTCTTGCGAAGCTCTAGGCTGCCCTAGCTTGTGCGCTGCCGACCGTCGGATGCCAGCCGTTGGATAAAGTATCTAACAGGGAAGGGTATTGTATTTCGAGTGGGAATCTAACGAGAGGAAGAGTCGTCGTTTCTTCTTGCCCTTTTTCTTGGTTGATTCCTACCGCTTACGTGGCATGTTTGCGTGTATGCCACGTGGCGCCAAGTCACCATAAGCTAGAACATAGTGATCTTTAAAACTTTTTTTCTACTGTCAAGAGATCCCACCATGACTGACAAGCATATTCCTCGTTTTCGTTCCATTCGCAGCGACACACTCGCGATCTCTGGCAAAAGTTCTGCAAGGCGTCAATGGGCGAACTATTCAAGTGTCACAATTTGTCCACAGAGAAGCCAGTGAAGAGAGCTGCCGAGAGACAAACTCTGGGCTTTTCGATCTCTCTCTCGATCTGGCTGTATGGCAGCTCGAGTTCGGTGCAAACTGAGCTCTCAAATTCATTGTTTCCGGTTGGCATCCAAAGAAATGCTAATACAATAATAATACTATCAAAATATAATTCTAACAAACCAATCGAAAGAATAACGATGAGAGAAAGAGCGTTACAAACACCTTTTATTCATAGTCCCTGGAATCAAACCACACACATACAAACATTGACAGCGATTTAGCAACAGGTTTTGAATAAATTTACGCGGAAGAACGGTGGTTCAAAGCTGTATATAATTCATGAAGCTTTTTAAAGCCTCTTCTTGGTCGAGCCAAAGGAGCGTAGTCCTTCCTGTAAAGAAGAAGAAGAAGAAGAAGAAATGGCCGCTTTTCCTTCTTTGGTACTAGTGCCTGCAAATGTTCCCTCTCTTTTGCTGCTCCTGCTCCTGCTCACAAATTCTCTGATAAATTCCAATGCCGCTGCCACTCTGACTTGCCCCGTGGGGATTTTCAGCTTTGGAGACTCTCTCGCCGACACTGGGAATTACGCAGCTGCGTTTCCAGATCCACCAGCGCCTTCTACATCCTCGAGTTCCTCCTCCGCAATCCAAGTTCTATCACCGCAGAGTTCCAGAGTCCACAATTTCTTCAATTATCTCGACATTCGTGCAGCCTACGATGGTGCCAAGCTCGACATGGAATTCGAATCCAGCAAGGCTGCGACCAAGCTGCCATTCCGGGCCAGCAATGGTCGCCTCGTCATCGATTTCATAGGTAACCTCTTTGACAAACTTTGCAAATTTCTCTGTCTAAATTTTCTCTGTTTCTTTTTCTCGTCCCGACTTTCTTGGCATTTAGAAAACTCGCGAGAGATCCTTTCTGCAGTAGAAACGTACGTAGACATTTTGTTCTTGTAGCATCCATATGGTACGTTAAAGTTTTTGTTTAGGTGGTGGTCGTGGTGGTCCAAACTTCATGCAAGTTTTGCTTGAATTGCCTGCCTGGCAAACTCCATGCATCAACTAAAAAAATATCAGAGAAAAATATCCGCAACCATGAAGCTTAGGTAGAACCTTTGTTTCGTAGCTACACAAAGTGCCTGACAGCAAGTTTCCTAGCGTGGATTTTTTTATCAATCAATCGCTAGCTATACTTCGAGGGAAAAAGCTTCCTTTTTTTTCTTTACTTTTCACTCCTTTATAGCTCTTTTTTTCTTTTTTTTAAAAATAATTTTCTTGATTGCTAACATATTTTTCTTATTTGGCGTTTTGTGTGTAGCTCAAGCGTTCCGTGCTCCTTTCCTAGCTCCATATTTTCAAAACGTTTTGCCGGACTATACAAACGGTGTCAACTTTGCATTTTCTTCTTCAACAGCTCGCAACACTTCCATCTCTGTTCCTTTTTACCTCTACAGGCAAGTCAATCACTACATTTATTTGAAAGGAAACATATATAATGCCCGAGGTAAAACGAGAAATTCTGTCTGTTTTTCTACGTCTTCCCCCCCTTTTTTTTGTTTAATTATTACAGGAGGTGCCAGCTTACCACCATTTAGCATCTTCTCCACAGCCCTCCACTGGATCTCAATCGGTATCAACGATTTCTATCAGAACTATATGGTCAATAATTTGAGTGTTTCTGACGTCAAGAACAAGGTGGTTCCTGATGCAGTGCATGCAGTCTCGGAAGCTGTCCAGGTAAACAAAATCAAAAGACAAAACCAAATTATTTCTTAAGAAAAAAGGTGTAACCTCTCTTTAGAGACTATATGGATTTGGAGCGAGGACTTTCATGGTGATGAACATCCCAGCAGTTGGCTGCCTTCCAGCTTTCCTCAGCAAATTCGGCACCGCAAACCCGGGTGACTACGATTCCCTGGGATGCCTTAAGAATCACAACGATGCCGCAAAAGCTTACGCTACACAGCTCCGTGTGGCTCTATCAAATCTCAGGCTAACTCTCCCGCAGGCTTTCATCATGTATGGAGATTATTATCAAGTTCACTTAGATGCAGTCACAAATCCAACACAATACGGTAATTTCTAAGTATTATCTTATTTTTTCCACAATATTAATTACTATTTTGTATGTTTTTTTTATGTAGGACTGCATCCCAATGGTACCTTAACTGCGTGTTGTGGAGGCGGAGGAAAGTATAACGTTCCAGTATCTCCATGTATCAGTTCCACTCCAGTGTGTGAAGATCCCCAAGCTTATATAAGTTGGGATGGCCTCCATTTTTGCGAGAGCTTTAATAGAGCGGTCGCGCTAACGTTCCTCCATGGCGATTATGTGGAGCCGTGGCCCAATTCCAACCTCACTGCGGCGTGCAGCTTAGACTTTAGCAAATTCTATTCTTAATATGTAATAATTCGTATATTTAACATTGCGATTTAATTATCTAAATTATGAATTATATACCAGAATAAACCAGTTTACGTGATCGAAGGAAAGATATGGTGCCCTCTCCAGCGACTAAAAATCAGTAAAGCTTGCAACACTTATCACGTAGCCTTAAGCATTGTGGATGGAATGGAAACCCTGCCAATCTCTACAATCACAGGCTTCCCATTCGGGTCTAGCGGATGCTTCCACGGCTCTCCATCCAGCTGCATATAAGCTCGATCGCGTTTCTCGCCATGGAGCTCCAGCCGGATAGCTTGAGCCTGCCAAGCCGTGTCAAAACATATATCCAAAGTTCTACACGAACTTTCACAAACCTGAGCAAGGCGAACAGCTTTAAGGAGGCTGACCATCACCAGAGACGTGTGCCAGCCGTCTCGCAAGCCAAAGATTTCCAGATATCCATCGTTGGGCCTGGCCTCGACAAATCCTTTCTGGAGAAGACCAGAACTAAACCTTTAAAGACGACGTCCAATGGAGTAGCCTACCTTTTGCATATTCTCCGGCTTTGGGTGTCCCCACGGGTTTCTTCCGCCGGCATAGCTCTGCAAGTTCAGTATCACCACTGCTCGAACGCTACAGAGAAGATACGAACCACATCACATCATCTCATTTCCCTCTGCCGCACACTTCTGTTTCGGTTTACCTCGACGGAACATCAACTTCTTCCCACCCGTCGTCTCCGTGTTTCTTCCTCACGGACAGACGAAGAACGGTGCTCACACCTCGGGCCCGAGGATTAGTAGATAATGAAGTGCAAAACCAGCCTTGCCAGCAACTATACCCCGAGTAAATCATCTGGAGGACAATCCAAATAGTCTGAGAAACGGTCAGGAATTACAATCAAAGACCTTGTTCGCAATCGGCCCTCGAGCAAGCCACGGCATTCTATTCCGCAGCTCATGGAATCCGTATGCAACTTGCGCATCCATTCCTGTGGAAAAAAACAAAACAAGAGTCACAAAAACCAAACCGTGCAACAAGTACCTAAGCTAAAATAATTGTAGAAGACTCCTTCAAACGACGCTGAGTATTCGTCCTGTTCTTCCTGAAAGCACGCGGCTTTAGATGTACGAGAGTGAAAGTAAGAAAATATATTTTTTTGCCTCGGTGGAAAGAGGTATATGTTGCTGCGGTTTCAATGCGTGCGGCCACTTTATAGGTTCTTTGGTGGAGGTTCTAATGCTCACTTTCCAACTGCGGAAGCGATCGACACGAGAAACATACATAAAGCATGAAAAAAAGATTGAAGCACTCACCAGTCTAAAGGTTGAGGAGTTGAGCCATCCGTTGCTTTCAAGAGCCAGTCCTTAACGGCAGCTCTTCCTTTGGACGTAAAAGAAGCACCCTGCAGCAAAGAAGTTGTAAACTTGGACAAAAACGAAGGAAAAAACTCACCCATCCAAAGCTCCGTGCGAGATCATTGCCAGTTCCAAGCGGAATAACCCCAACGGGAGGACACGGTCCACGATGCTCCAAGTGAAGCTCTGCCAGGCTTCCAAGCACCCAGCCCACGGTGCCATCGCCTCCAGCAACCTGTGGAGGAACATATAGCTCACAAAACAAAGTGAAAGTTTCTCCATCCATCATACGAGAATTCGAAGACGTTCACGTGTGAGCCTTGCGCATTGATCGCCGTTTTTCGCAAGAGCATCCAGGCACCCCAAACCATGACGAACGAAATCTGTTGGTTTTGTCTCGTTGAGATCAAACACCTGGAATGCACAAGAAGAGCAATGAGAAGAAACAAAAAAAAAAAGAAGGAAAAGATCGCTTTCTCTCACGTATCCCCAGAAAGAACTAAGAGAGAAAAAGAGAAACCTTAGCTTCCACTAGTACCTGTTCTGGACTGATAAGATCTCTCAAATGGCCGGCAAGGGCAGGCCCAAGGCGGCCACCACTCTTGGAATTGACGAACACAATGAGCGGGCTGGAAGGGGCTGCGTGATCCTCTTGCCGATCGCTCAAAGCACTGGCGCCCTCGACATAGCCACCGCCGCTGGTAGCCACGGCATTGCACATCGCCTTGCGGAGATACTCGGGGATCAAGACCCGGCCCTTGAGCAGCACCGTCCTGCCCTTCTTCTTGGGGACGATGAGGTCCAAGATCCCCTTACCGCCATGCCCCGCGCCCGATGGCGCCGATCCATTGGAATCCATGGCGCGCTAGCGCGATCGCTGCGCCAAGAGGCGCCGATCTTACCCCAGATTGCCCGAAATATCGATGAAGAAGAGCTGCTGCTATCTATCGCTACAATCCCTCATTGCGAAGCAGCGATGTGCTGCCCACACAGCCAGCAAGAATGGACGAAAATATTCCCAGAGGAGATTCCATCGTAGGTCGTACTAATTTCTAGCTGCCATGCAAATATTATAGTCAAAGTCAACATGTCCGAGTGGTTAAGGAGATAGACTTGAAATCTATTGGGTTTCACCCGCGCAGGTTCGAACCCTGCTGTTGACGATACAGTGTGAACATTCTTTATTCGAAAATTCTTAAGGCTATTCGTATGTGAATATTCTTTAGCTTTTCTTTGAATTTACTAAGGCGTGTCGAGCCAAGGAGCTTTTGGTTCTCTGAGCGAGCCCCATCGTCCTACCATTGTGTGAGCCATTTTCGTCCAGAGTGGCGCTTCTGGATCTCTTCCGGGCGATGGAATCTCGATTATCTCGCTGGTGGTGGTGGTGCTGCTGCTGCTACTCTGAGCTTGAGGAAGCAAGAGCTCCTCGCGCAGAGGATCGTTCTCGCCTCTTCTCTCGAACTTGGCTGTCAAGGCGATGACTGCTGCGGCGACAGCACAGCCTCCTGGAACCAGAGCTAGCACTCGTCGAACCAGAGAGACGCTGCAGCGTCCATTGAGCAAGCAAAATGCCGGTGTCTCGGTTCCTGCAAGCGCAACTGTTTTGTTAGTCTCGAAAGGAAGATCATAGAAACAGAGACCATGAAGCGCTTCAATCGCGTAGAGAGCGAATCCACACGCAAGTTTATCACACAAGCTCAGGGAGCCATAAACGAAGGCACATCCACTTAAGCTGTGGCCAACTAGCAATCCTTCCATGCTGGTAGCAGTAACCTGAGAGAGAACCATGGAAATAGTTGAGACCAAGCAGTGCACAAAAAGGATGGCTTACCAGCATTAGTGCATTGCCTGTTCCGACAACCAACGCTAGAGGATATATGTACAGTTGAAACGAACTAGACAAATAAAAGAATCCAACCCCGCAAAAAAGCCAAAGTGATGCTCCTGTTGTAAAGGCGGCTTTGAGTCTGAAGCTTGTCCAGTGACATTCCTGAATACAGCGTTTTATCTTGGATGCGTTTAATCATCAAAGTACCTGGAGCCATATGGAAGTGAAGAAACTAGACATGTATATAACTGCTGGAACCTGTGAAAACAAGAGGTATAAGAGCCATGTTCACGACGAATTATCGGTTTACTTACCACTGCCTTCGATGATTCGACCATGTACAAATCGTCAATGAGATAAAATGCTAAAAGGGCCTGAAAAAACATATTAGCCTGGGAATCAAGGATGTATGTTGCAAGACCTGTGAAACATTTGTTGTAAGTCTGGTAAGTGTGTAAACTAGCGCAACTTGATAATAAAGAATCTTCCGAAACCATGACACGAAACTTATCTTGGTGTATAGCTTCGGCTGGAAATGGTGTTGTAATCTGGAACAACACAAAAGCTATGGAAGTCTTGAGTAACAGTTATCATACCTTGGTTCTTTTACACTTAGAAGAAATATGAGAACAAAAAAGCCACCTATAGCTACATTAGCACTGGCAATCCACCGATACTGTGCGACAGCGATGGAGATTAGCAAGCGAAAAAAAGAAGAAACGTAAGTACCTGTCTCTCAACATTGTCATTCGATTTGAAAGTGAAAACCAAGAACGCGATGCCATAGAGCAAGAGATTTGCAACCTGGAGGAACATCAAAAATGAATGGCAAGTTTATAAACAGGAAGAAAAACTCAGAGACTTCACCATGGTGAAGGCATTTCTACAACTGTTCAAGGCCACTCGGCTGGTGGGATTTGCCGTGATGCAATTAACGAGAGACCTGTTCAAAGCAGGGAATCTTTGTGAAGGAAAAAAAAAAGAGAGAAAGAGACAAATCGTACATGTGAGAGACTTGAGTTGCGGCCCAACCGATATTAAAAATGGCCGCAAAGACGCTGTAGCCAAGTGTCTCCACAAGAAGCGTCTTGTTTCCCGTGATGACACACACGGAACATCCCCCAAACACGGAAGAAAAGGAGATCGAAACAAGCAACGAACCTCCGCCATGCCATATCTTAAATCCTCCAAACAAATCGATCTGACCAACAAAACTAAACGAAGTAAAAACAAAGAGTTCTTCGTCCAATGGACGAAGAACGAGTTCCTTTTCTTACCATATACCCAGCAGCGACTGTAGCGAGTCCATCAGAAACTTGGCCGCAAAGCATCACCAGCGCAGCCTCTCTAACAGATTCCATTGTTAGAATTTCCCCCCAAAAAAACAAAGAAACGAGAGATGGAAGATGAAAATTCTCGCTTCCTACCGTGGAGTCAAGCCGACGTCGGTGAGGTAAATGAGCAAATACGTGAACCAGCAAGCGGCCGTGAGATCATTGAGCATATGGCCAATCCCATACGCCACAATCTCCTTCCTCGCCAGAGCTTTGCTGGACGGAGCATCGAAATCGGCATCGGCATCGCCGCCGCCGCCGCTCTCCATCCAGCGCTAGAATCTATGCCGCCAGCTCCATTCGCTGCCGCGATCGAAGCCCTAGCGCCTGGCTCTGCGATGAATTTTCCTCCCAAGAGGTGGGAGATGGGCGGCAATCCAACGGCCACAAGCGAGTTAAAGAATCTTGGGTAAGACGTGTCCGACGTGGCTGTAGAATCCTCAGCACGTCATTGTCGTGGCGCCTAGTCAGCAAGCATATTTCTGTCCACCATGGGCATTGTGAGGACGAGGGTTGCTGACAAGGCGTCCCACGTGGCAGAGCTCCTGGTATCGTTCACCTTGTGTGGAAGGTACGTCGCGAGATAGCTGCATCAAAGAAAATCGATAGCGATGGATTGAGTAGAAAAAATGGGAGATTTTTGAGCTTACTAGCGAGGAGATGTGAGCTTGAGATACGTTGGCTTCACATCGAGCTTGATCTCGCTCGAAGACTCGGTGTCTGGAAGCTTGATCTTCATCACAAGCTCCTCGCAGAAAATCGTGGATGGAGTTTTGTCGCTCTGGAGCAGCCAATGATTTTAGAAAAGGAGAGTGAGGATTGGCATTCTCGGAAGGATTGATTTGCTTGCCATTTGGAGGTAGACATCGTTTGGAGTGACTGCCTGCTTGTAAACAAACTCGTATCTATGGTCAAAGAGAACGATCCATCAATTCGCGATGCTTACGTGATAGTGAACAAGAGTGTGAGATTACTCGGGTTGAATTCGACTGTCATTCTCAGCCGCTTCAATCGCCTCTTCGATCGCAGTCTTCTTCTCTAGACCAAAAAAAAGCGAGAAGGAAATCCATTCCATTCGCAAGAAGGGATCGAAAAGAAGAGAACGATCGAGCTTACTTTTCTCGTATTTTGGGCCGATTGAGGCAGGCGATGGAGTGGCCTGAGTCGGAGGAGCGAATTCCTGAAAACAACGGAGCGCGCGGCGCAAATCGATAAATCGACCAACTAGATCGCAGCGGCGGCGGCATACCTCAGAGGATCTTGATGTATCCGCGTGGTAGAAGAGATCGGTAAGCGCCTCGAGATCCGTCTTGTTCCACATCCTCGCTCGCCACAAACCCTAGAACACAACGTTCAAACGAACGGCATATACCCGGATCATAGTATTCCGTACAGGAATATTCATAGAATAAAACCCATCTTTCGTGTTCCTGGATCCACCATAGCCGAGAGGGCCTTATCCGCCGGAGAGGAAGCAGGGGTTAGGGTTTTGGGGGAGGGAGGAAGACGATGGCCGCGGTGGTGAGCGCCTGTTCCGGGAGCGCCGCGGCGTCGGCATTGGCGCAGTTCTTGCGCAGCAAGGGCGTCCGCGAAGAATGCATCGACCGAATGGTGGACCGCTGCAATAGCAGCGGCCGATTCCCAGGTAGTGTGGATTCCCCGAGCGCCACGGCCGATGTAATGCAGCCGACCTGGAGCTACCTGGAGAGCATCGTCGTCCCCAAGCGCAAGGTCACGTCCGTGGTGGCGCGCTGCCCGCCGCTGCTCATGATGCCGCTGGAGGAGCGCCTCAAGCCCATGGTGATGTTCCTCCAGACCATGGGGCTCAAGCGCGAGGACATCGCCAAGACCATCAACCGCTACCCATCGATCTTCATGCACAGCGTGGAGGAGAAGCTCTGCCCGCTGCTGGCATTCCTCGAGGGCGCTGCGGGCGTTCGCCCGGAGAGGATCGGCAAGCTCCTCGTGCTGTGCCCGAGGCTCCTGAGCTACAGCATCGATCAGAAGCTCCGACCCATGGTGGATTTTCTCTGCGGCCTCGGCGTGGAGCCGGGACACGAGCTCGGCAAGCTCGTCTGCTCGTATCCAAACATCTTCGGCTATAGCATCGAGAACAGGCTCCAAGTCACGGTGGAGTATCTCCGCCAACTCGGCCTCTCCAAGAACGACTTGAAGAAGATCATCGTGTGCTATCCTCACATCATCTGCCGGGCGGAGAAGGCCTTGGAGCCGGCCGTGAACTATCTCCTCACGGCTGGACTGAGCGCCGGGCAGATCACCACGCTGGTCGCTGGCTTCCCTCCGATTCTCGTCAAGAGCGTCAAGAGATCCATCCAACCAAAGGTGGAGTTTCTCATGCGGGACATGGGAAGGGGATTGGAGGAAGCAGTGGAGTTCCCGGCCTACTTTGGCCACAGCCTCAACAGGAAGATCGGGCCCCGGCACAAGAAGCTCAAGGATCAAGGTGCCATCCCTCTCCACGCGATGCTCAACTGTAACAAGAAGAAGTTCACGTCCAAGTTCTTCCCAGAAGAAGTTACAGCTCCGTGAGAGTGATGGTTCCAGTCCGGCTTTGGCGCGCGCAAGCGAAAACACCAACAACAATCTTCCAGCTTCTCGGTCCTCCACAAAAGTTTTGCTGTTGGTACGTAAATTTCTTGTCGCTAGAGTGTCTTACGCTTCCTATGCTTTCGTTTCTTGCTTTTCGTCCGCCGTGGTTCTTGTTCTTCCCATTCGTTCGTCCTGCGTTGTCCTCTCCCTCTTTCATTGTTTTTTCGCTCTAGGACTTGAGATTTGAGCTCCTTGTCGTAAATGGTCACTTCCAATTAGCAAGGCTGGTTGGTTCTTGGCAAGCTCTCTGTGAACTGGTGGGATCATCGCTTTTGAGGCGATGTTGTCTTCTCAGTGTCAACTCTCTCTTGATCTCATCAACGTCGAAGTTCTTCCCAGTGGCAGCGTAGATCTGTGACAGCGCCACGAACTGGGACGTCGACTCCGGTCCAGCAAGCTGTCGGCGGCTGTGGTTCCAATCTCGACATCAGTGTGGAGAAGCGAGACCGGCTTGGCACACGAGATAAGCACCCGTATGAACGACTGCCACACTAGCCAGTCCTTGCTAACTATGGGGCCACCACGTCACTGACACGGCAGCGGCGGCGCGGGGCCTTCCTTCTGTCGTCTTAGGGCCTAGCGACGGACCTTCTTGTCCAGTGGTGGCCATGATCGACGAGATCCTTAGTAGATGTTGGGGCATAAGCCCTGATCGCACGTACATCTAGATGTTGAGACCTCCCAAAAGAGCACAAAAGATTTTAATGTGTTGAAATGGTGAGATGTATTATATATATATATATAGATAGATAGATATATATATATAAATAAAAGTAGAATTATTGATAACCACAATCAATTTGTAACTTTTATGCTTAATCTAACCTAAGGTAGGGTTTTACTCATGACCCCTTTCATTATATTTGAGTTTTTTAAGCAAGTGAGTAGTGAATGATTTGTTAACTTAAAGATTATGCTCGTAACATTGAGAGTGTTAAAAAAATTCTGAGTGTAAACACTTAATTAATCATAAAATAAACAATATTTCATATGTAATATACACATATAATCTATTAAAAACTAAATTTTAAAAAATAATACTTAAACCACCATAAGGTCCAAGTTATGATGCCATATACTAATATTAGCGTAGTGGGATTTTAGTAGTTATCATATTAGTTTCAATCTGGACCACTCACTCTTGTATATAAATTAGGGTTTTTGGACTAATTGATATGTACATTCTTTATATTTCCTTTCTATATTCCATTCACTCACATTGGTAGAGGTGAAATGCATCTTTTATTGTCCTTGGGGAGTGCTTGGATTTGGGATTTTGATTTAGATATAACTTTTGCATCATTTATATTTAGCTTTTTCCATTTCCCTTCTTTTCAGGATTTTGGCTTAAATTTAACTTTTCCATTGTCTAAATTTCCCTTTCCTTCTAGTTTCTTCTCATTTCTCTTCTTTTGCTCTTTCCTTTTTATTCATCTTCATGGTAGAGTAGCAGTCTCCTCCTCTTTTGACTCTGGAACAATAGTTGGTGCAATTGTTTGATGCTATGTGATTGCAATTGAACAACCAAACTCAATTGATGGCGGCATTCATGGCATACGATACAACTCCTCTTGCTCTTGGTGCCAATCCTCACGTTCGGCTGGAGTTCTTTCGTAGGAATCCTGGGGATGATGTGTACTATTGGTTCGATTGCTTCACAATGATTGCTACATATCATTTTTAGGATGATGCTTGACGTTTGCGTGAGTTTCCCACATATCTCCACTATAGTGGTATAATGGTTTGAGTGCAGCCACTCGTGAGGATTGAAGCGATCAAAGTGTGTGTTTGGGTCCAAGGATATGATCTATTTTGGGTATTGTATTTCTCATAAGGGTTTGCAAGTTAATCATGACAAACTTGTGGCTATTCTAAAGTTTCCTACTCCAAAGTATGTAAATGATGTGCAGTGTTTCTTGGGCAAGGTGCAATATCTCGGTCGTTTTGTGGATTATCTTTTTGATCACACTACACTGTTGTGAGCATTACTGAAGTTATCAACATCATCTTTCATCTGGTCTTTGGATTGTGAGCGAGCGTTCATGGATCTCAAAGAGTTATTGATGACTCCTCCAATATTGGCATATCCTAACTACACTTGACTTTTCATTTTGCGTGTGGATGCTTCTAATATTGGTCTTGGAGGTGTGTTGATGCAAGAGAGCTCGAATGTTCTTGATTAGTGCCATCCCATTGCGTATATAAGCCATATATTACAACAAGTGGAGGTGAACTACTCTACAACAAAGAAAGAGTGCAAGAACCTTCATGCATATCTATATGGTTTTCAGACATTACTAAAAGGTGATCATGCTACCATTATTTCATTATTGAAGCGGAAAAACTTGGTTGGTTGTACTACTCAGTGGGCTTTGAGGCTTCAGATATATAATTTTGATATTGTTCATCACTCGGGGAATTCTATGGCTAATGCTAATGTCCTTTCTAGAGCTTCTCTTCCTTCTTCGCTCTCTTCTCATGTTTCTGACGAGTCTGTTGTTCCAGTATCTATGAATTTTCTAAACGAGGATTTTGTGCCATCGATGGTTGTTGTATTTGACGTTCAGTGTTCACAAGGTACAAAGCAAGACTTATCTTCTTTTGATGAGGTTCATGAGGCTCAAAAGATTGAGCTGTGGATTCGAAGGCTTTAAGAAGAGTTTAAGAATCCTGTATCACTTGTTGATGACTTGCTATTCTGGCATTTATATTGTTAATATCGCTTTGAAGACGGCCTTTTATATTTTGTAAGGATGGATCATAATGATCATTTACAGTTATTGATTCCTTCCATCTTTATTCCACAATTTCTTCATGCCTACTATGATTCTCCGGTTTTAGGCAGGCATATGGAACATCGTCGTGTGACTAAGAAGTTGTGTAGGTCTTTCTATTGACTGGAGATGCGATGCGATGCAATGTTATTCAGTATATGCATATCTATGTTTGGTGTTAAGTTCGTAATACTCCCCCTCGTGCTACAAAAAAACAATTGGAGTTAATTGCAATTTCCTATCCGTTTGAGTTGGTGGTGTTTAATCTTATAAGACCTTTTCTACAATTGATTGTTAGCAAAGAGTATGTTATTATTGTTTATGACTACTTAACTCATTGGGTGGAAGTTGGTGCTATTGTTAGCGCCTTTGCAACTACTATTAAATACTTCCTCCTCAATCAAGTGGTATTCTAGCATTGTTATCGAGAGTGGAGTCTTTCAAATAATGGTCCTGCATTTATGGCTGAGGGATTTCATGTTTTAACATCTTGGTTGGGGATACGCCACACTTTCACAAGTGCTTATCATCCACAATCAAATGGTTTGGTGAAACGGTTCATTTGGACGTTCAAAGGGATGATCGTGAAGTATGTAAACTTTTAGCATTCAGATTGGGATAGTTATTTGCCGTCTCTTCGGTATGCATATGTCACAGGGGTGCAAAGTTCTATTTGTGCTTCATCATATAAACTTTTATATGGTCATCATCCAATATTACCAATAGAGCTAGGTTTACCTTTGCGATTGCCACGAGCTACCGATGCTAGGTCATGGGATCAGTATTTGATGAGCATTCTTCCACTTGTCCGAGTGGAGTCTATCGAACACTTAGGCTGCATATAAGTGGGACAACAACAGTGCTACAATTCCCATCATCATCCACTTGCAAAGTATAAAATGGATGACTTGGTGTTAGTTTGTTTTCCCCATCTTACTATACATGGTTTATCTAAAGGCTCTTTTTTCAGTGGAAAGGACCGTATCAGGTGTTGCGGCAAGTTGGAAGACAAGTTTATGAGATTCGGCATGACGTTCAACAAGGCAATCCTCCAAAAATTGTGCATGTGCAATGGTTAAAACGCTTCATCCAAAGGGATCAGGAATAGCTAATACCACCTACAGATCCGTTAATGCCTCCTGACATTTCTCCAGATCCTTACCCATCTACAATAGAACCTTGATGGTCTTCCATTATTCTGAGAGGAGGGGATGATGTAAGGTCCAAGTGTATGCCTATGATGCCGTATACTAATATTAGCATAGTGGGATTTTGGTAGCCATCGGATTGATTTCAATCTGGACCACTCGCTCTTATAAGGGTTTTTGGGTTAATTGATTGTAAGCCACAAATTTTTCCTTTCCAATTTAGTAGATTACCTCATCTATCCAACCAACACTGCCTTGGACTTAGCTAAGTTCTCTCGCGAAGGTTCTTGCCTATTGTACCAGCTCCTACTTAGTCCTACTTAGTTTCAGTTACTCACTGCATGAACAACGGAATGTTAATCATCCATCCACGGATTCCCAGATCTCTCCCAATTCCCCTTCCCAGGTTAGACTGGACTTAAGGTTTAGGTACACTCCCCGCAAGCACAAGCAGCCAAACACACTAAACCTCCAGGTTTCTAACATCCCTTGGTACAACAAAACTTAATCATGGGACCCTTTAAATCCCAAGCTTTGGGTGCAATAGTTGCTTCAGGACACAGGGGAAACACTATGGCCTAACAATCTGGTATGGATACCTCTACTCCCCCAGTTCCATTATGAAGGGAAGGCCCAAACCCCTAAGAAAGGCGAGGACCAATGAGCCATATGGTACTCAAATGAGGCACCATTTCACATGAGCCGAAAGCACCGTAGTCAGTTTCCCTTCCGATAGTAGGAGTTACTCTTGAGCACTTCCTTGGGTGGTCCCTTTAGCACCACCTGAGTCCATGCTCACTCCCACCCAATGCCCTTTGGCCCCAATCTCAACCTCAAGTCAGTTTAGAAGCATCATTGGAGAGTTTCTTCAAAACTAGTTCCTAGACCTCACTATCCCTACTATACTTTTGGAACCCTTTACAACTCTCCCCCCCCCCCCCCTGGGAGATACACACTTTAGGCTTTCACCCCATGATCTATATTAGTATTTGGATTTGATCTCGGATTCGACCGGACTCAACTTCAGACTTGGTCTCGGACTTAATCTCAAACTTGATTTCGGACCCAACCTCAAACTCTATCTCAGACTTGATCTCGGACTCGGTCTTGGATCCGATATCGGATCTTGGACTCGGTCTCAGACTTAATCTTGGACTCGGCCTCGAATTCGGTCTCGAACTCAGTCTTAGAGTCAGTCTTAGACTCAATCTCAAACTCAGTCTCATCCAATGAATTCTTTATCATTTTGGTTGTGCCTTCGGGGATTCTTTACCCTTTGACACCTCGAGGAGTTGGTTTCTTATATTGATGTATACATTTTATGTATTCCCTTTCCATGCACTCATACCATGGGGTTTAATTTGAGTT